AGGGCGCGGGGGGGGGGGGGGGGGTAACAAAAGTGAAAACAGAAACACAGACAGAGCTAAGACTCTGAAACAGGCTTGAAACCGAAAAACGGACTCGGATGCAATACGGCCACTTGGCTTGCATCAGTCCCGGAACAAATACTATAACCTCGTTACACTAGTGACAAACATCAGACTACAAACAAACATTAATCATCCGCCCCGAGTGGCATGAGGAAGGCGCATAAACAGCCCTCATGATGGGCCACAGATGTGTGTGAGTGAGTGTGTGCACAGGTATGTGGAGTGAAGGTGACGGAGTTCCGGATGGGCGACAGCTGTGTGTGTGTGCCCAGGTGTGTGGAGTCAAGGTGACGGAAAGGGAGTCCGGGAGGATGGGAGATGGTGACCTCTGGTGGTGAGAGGGAGAACACCAGACGCCAGCCCCTGACAAAAGTGTCATACAGTCCTAAGTCACTCTTAAAAACTAGATAAAGCCACACCACATTAGATAAGTGATCAAATAAAGTGTGATCAGTAAACAAATTATGCTAGACTTTTCTGATAACTACAGTACATTAACTAATAAATTATTATTTTAAAAAATATATATCTGTTGATTTATTTATTTATATTACCTTTATTTAACCAGGGGAAAAAAGACTCACTGAGATTAAAATATCTTTTGCAGGAGTGTCCTGGCCAAGCTAGGCAGCCAAGTTTGCATATACAAATAAACAACATAGTTACAAAATACATACAATACAAAACCAACATACCAACATATAACCAATTAAAAACAATTACACACCATTAACTCACTCTCTAGATTACGTAGTAAAAACTTTAAATAATTATAAGACACCAAGTTTTTAACTTCATCTCCTTTTGTAGAAGATTCCAATCTGAAGTGGCGGCATATTTAAAAGAAGTTTTACCAAGCTCAGTTCTGACAAGGGCCACACAAAGATTATAGTTTGATTGAGACGTAATGAGTAATTTCTAGACAAAGTCCTTTGAATAAAACAATAGAGATAAAATGGCAAATAGCCCAATATGACTTTATATATCAACAGATACCAATGCATTTTTCTCTGAATACTCAAAGAAGGCCATGCAACTCTTTTGTATAGTTCACAATGATGAGTTGAAAATGTACAATCAGTTATAAATCTCAGAGCACCATGGCATCTAAGGAGGTGAGAAGTTAAGAGGGGGCATGCTGATAAACTACATCCCCATAACCGAGATCCAGTAGAAAAAGTATAGCGGACACTAATTTCTTCCTCACATTGAATGAAAAACACGACTTATTTCTAAAGTAAAACTCTTAAGTTTTTCTTACATTTTTTCCTCAAATACTTCATGTGTGAACCAAAGCGTAGCGTGTTATCGATAATAATACCCAAGTATTTGCACTCTGACACTGAAGTAATTTGGCTCCCCTGAGAAATCCGTAGAATGATCGAATTTTCTGAAGAAGTTTTAGAATTTGAAAATAACATACATTTTGTTTTTTCAACGTTTAAAATCAGCTTCAAAAAGCACAGAACCTATTTTGGATCATATCAAAAGCAGGCTGTAAAGAAGCCACAGATTGTTGCTTAGAGGGGGCTGAGCAATAAACAATAGTATAATCTGCATAAAAATGGAACCTTGCATTATCAATATTAAAATCAAGGCAGTTTATATATATACTAAATAATAAATGGGTATGGGTATAGATATAATAGTATGGGTTTAACTAGTGAATGTATAAAATGTACAAAAAAAGTTGAAAAAGTTTTTGAGTATAATGGACCTCAAAATAATTGAGTATCATTTTTTTATTTGTAATTTATTCGTTTTATTATATATTATATTGTTGATATTAATATTAATATTACTGTATTTGTAATATTACTTTTATAGGTAGTTTGGAGAGTGTGTTCGTGATCATGTGTCAGGGAATTTCTTGTATAAGAATTATAAAACGATAAAAATAGGTCAGGGTCAGGGTAGAAATGACATTATTAAAGTGTTAATATAAAACATAATTAAATAATAAATGTCTTCTATTATTTTATAATGATTTGTCCACAGTGTTTCTTTTGCCTGCAGCCCAAGAGACAGGTTCCAGCATCGTCGCAAAGCGGTTTGGAGAATGGATGGATCGATCACTTCATCTGCTGGTGAGTCTTCATAAATACATTATGTTCGTTTAAAGCAGAGACTATCTGGGAAAGTGTAGTCTATAGGCTACAATTGAAAACACTTGAATTCCAGATTTGAGGAAATAGAAAAGAATAAACCAAAATGACCACATGATGGAGGTAGCATGCTTGACATCGGCGCGGCTGGCGGCGGGGTTCCGGATCGAGATTGGATACTCTCCAGACACCGGATGACTGCCTCCTTCCAATCGAGGTTAGTGGTGTCTGGGAATTCCGCTGGCTGATGGTAGGTGATCCCGAGCCGTAACAGCATCCCTAGGGTCTCTCCATTGAGGGAGCTGGCGAGGGCAAGCGGCACGAACGCCCTCGCGTAGGTGAGCGGGTCGTGGCTCGCCTGAGCCACGGCGATGAACATAGCTCGTTCCTCCATGTTTGCAGGGAGAAACGAACAGGAAAACAAAAGACTTTTAAAACGAAAACAAAAACACGGGAGAAGGGGCGCCGCTTACCGTTTTGGTCTGGTATTCTGTCACGATCACTACTATGAGTGAGCGCGGAACGAGGAGATGTGGAGTAAATCAACAAGGAGACTTTTAATAACATCAAGGGAACCAGGAAAACACATGTGGCAGAGGAGGTTGACATAAATAATACCGGACGAAGAATTAAGAACTGGAAACACTTTAAATACACAAGACATGACGAGAAACACCTGGAACTAATGAAACAAAATAACATGAGGGAAAACACAGCTGGAAACAAATGAACACAATCAGGGCAGGAACAAGAAGACCAAAAAAGGGCATAGAAGCACATGTGGAGCAAAACACAATATGGAACAGAGTCTGACTCCAACATTTAAAAAAAGCTTGGGCTACACTTATAATTAATGCCTTATTCTGCCACATTATTAGAAGACTGTATGTATATAATTTATAAAATGAATTATGTGTTTCATTTCTTTACTTATTTATTTGGGTTGATTTGCCATATATTTTATATTATGTAAAGTATGCTTGTTCATACTGGTAACAATTGATCCAGAGATTTCAAAGTTGTCACGGCGCGGTCAGGAAAGACACACCGTGTAAACAAATGTTTGGGTCCAAATGCAGGTTCATTAGACTGCGGGGGGGGGGGGGGGAAACAAAGGGAAAACAAAA